CTCTTAACAGTTGTTCTAGAGATGGGTCTGCTGCTAGAACTCTGTGTGGCATTCATCTGGTCTCTGATCTGAGCTGCTGTTAACTTGCGATTTCTGAGGCTGGTGACTCGGATGAACTTATCCTCAGAAGCAGAGGTGACTCTTGGTCTTCCTTTCCTGGGTCGGTCCTCATGTGTGCCAGTTTCGTTGTAGCGCTTGATGGTTTTTGCGACTCCACTTGGGGAAACATTTAAAGTTTTTGCAATTTTCCGGACTGACTGACCTTCATTTCTTAAAGTAATGATGGCCACTCGTTTTTCTTTAGTTAGCTGATTGGTTCTTGCCATAATATGAATTTTAACAGTTGTCCAATAGGGCTGTCGGCTGTGTATTAACCTGACTTCTGCACAACACATCTGATGGTCCCAACCCCATTGATAAAGCAAGAAATTCCACTAATTAACCCTGATAAGGCACACCTGTGAAGTGGAAACCATTTCAGGTGACTACCTCTTGAAGCTCATGGAGAGAATGCCAAGAGTGTGCAAAGCAGTAATCAGAGCAAAGGGTGGCTATTTTGAAGAAACTAGAATATAAAACATGTTTTCAGTTATTTCACCTTTTTTTGTTAAGTACATAACTCCACATGTGTTCATTCATAGTTTTGATGCCTTCAGTGAGAATCTACAATGTAAATAGTCATGAAAATAAAGAAAACGCATTGAATGAGAAGGTGTGTCCAAACTTTTGGCCTGTACTGTATATGAGGCGCACGATCTAGCAGTTGAGCCAGAGGTTGCCCTGCGGAAAAAAAATATTTAATCATGTGGCTCTCCTAGGCATTCAAAATGTTATCAGACTAAATGGATCAAATCCCTATAGTGAAACAAGTCATTGCTGGGGGGCTGTGATGCTCAAAATAATTTATTTACTGATTTAAGACATCTCTATCACAATGTAAGTCTGTGGGAAACAGTCGTTTTAGGACCCATAGCATCACATGATGGAGCCAGAAGTTGTAATTCAACTTTTGACCACTTTGTAAAATTAGCTTCACAGGTAGGTGCTGTTCTGGGAGCTTGCTTTATGTGTCCATGTCACTGCCATTACACTGTTTACATGGTTTTTGGGTCTTTGTTGAATGTGTAATATTAAAGAATAAGTGTAAATGTAAATAAACACAAGGAGGAATTTATAACAAACAGGTCAACAATAAAATGATAGATATTAAAATCAAAGAGTGCATGCAACCTCACGTCAGTGTCATCATCATCAACACATGTGAAAGTGTTGTGAAGCATCACGGTGAGTGTGAGGCAAGGTCATTTAGACCACGATGCGTGTGTGTGTGTGTGTGTGTGTGTGTGTGTGTGTGTGTGTGTGTGTGTGTGTGTGTGTATATATATAAGTGTGTGCGTGAGATACCCAGGGGGGCTCTGAACAGCCCTCTCACCCCCACTTCCCAGTCTGTAAGGCAGAGCTGTGCCAACCCACAGTGGATGCATGTTTGTTCGTCCACCACCACCAGCCCTGACTGCCAAACAGTCGCTTTGTCTCTCCACAAAGACGCCTCCTGCTGCTAGAGATTTACAGAAAAGCAACTGAATTAGTGGTGATTCACAGAAACAACTCTGGCTCCTGTTTGCTCGTGGATAAGTGCTTCTTGTCAGCTGTTGAGAGCTAAAAACGAATAACAACTAGAGCAGAATTACTGACGAGAAAAAATGAGGCTGTAGATGCAGTAGGTAATTGCCCTGATTATTCATGTGGACTTGCAGCAGTAGGACTGTTGGTTTTGTCCACACCAGGGTTGCTGTGTTGTCTGAATTAAAATGCTGTTCCCATCAAGTGCAAAGCGTTGCTTAATCAAACCTTTTGAAATGGAAATATGTGGCTTTGATGTGATTTCATGACAAGCCACTCATACCAATGAGATAATGGTGTTGATTAAAGGCAAGTGAGTTAATCTCTCTTTGTGCTCTTCACTGGATAGATTAGCAGTGCTATGATTTGATGGACTGTTATAAACCATTAAGCACTTCAGTGCGACCTTGTGACACTAAAGAACTGTATACACTGTATAGGCATGCAGAGTTATGATGCATTATGCTGTGAGTGATGTTATGTAACTGCTACAGTCCAGTGGAGGCAGCTGTTCCCCTGGCAGGATGATGGTGAATTGTGATTTCCCGGTGGGCTGAGGTCTTAACTCTGCAGTCAGCTGGGCAGACTCCCGTGATTGTGTTATCAATCCTTCCTCAGCTGTGACGTGACAAGAACAATCTCACCAGAAACATAAGCCAGAGGGAACATATTTTCTGTCTGCCTACTGATTTAAAATGCTCACATAGTTTTTGTTACATTTTTTTTCTTCTCTTGCTGTGTCACACTCTCTCTATTACAAACACACACATACACACACACAGTGTCCTCTGCTGAACTGTGAAAGCACCAGCAGAGGAATGCAGGTTGCTCCTTGTTTCCCACAGATAGGCTGTCAGTCAGACTGACAGTGTTTCACAACACTCTAATGGCCTCACGTTGTGCAGGTTCACACAGGTGTAGGATGGAGGAGCCGGACTTTCTGTACTGCATGATAACAAGGGACTGTCTCAGGTTCATTTCGTTTCTTTTTGCTTGTACCTTACATGAGAATTGAATATGTGACATGTTTTGTGTTATTTTGATGGCTGATACTACAATAACAGTTCACCCCTAAATCAAAATTACATATTTTTCTTCTTACTTGTAGTGCTATTTATCAATCAATCAATCAATTTTTTTTTATCTACCCAATATATTTATTTCTTTTCAATTTTGGTCACAAATTTGTTAAAATCCATGTAAGTGAGCACTTTAATTTTCCAAGATAATCCATCTACCTGACAGGTGTAGCATACCAAGATGCTGATTAAACAGCATCATTACTACAAAGGTGTGTGTTGGGATGGTCACAATAAAAGGCTACTCTACAATGTGCAGTTTTATCTTTAAAAAAGACATTTATTAGGATTTCACGTCTTAGCATATTACTCTACCACACAAACATTTGCTGAAATGCAAATAAGCTTTTTCAAAGACGAAATTTTAAAGCTATAGTGCGTAACTTCTGTCGCCTCCCAGCGGATAATGCGTTATTACAACTAATAAGCCGGCGGCACTTCCATGTACACAGAGTAACACTCGTCAGTCGCCACACACCGTGTAAACAGAGTAACACTCGCTACACACCGTGTACACAATGCTACACAAAGTGGCGAACACCAGGCTGCTAACATTACATAACGTTCATAGCACCATTTCCAAGAAAATAATAAAGTACTAGGTCCAGTACATGTAACAGCAACACATACTACTCATAATATAATTATAAACCAAGTCACTTACTTATCCAACAGCAGCAAGGCAACATCCGTGTCTGCCCTCAGCCCAATTTCTTCCTTCAGGGCTATCCACCAAAGAAAAGCGACGCCAATGCAAATCCTTGTTTGCCTTCTCCGTCGGTCACTTTCCTTCTTTGCTAATAGACCTTCAGCCGAACGTCCAGGCTTTTTCTTTGTGGTAGGATCCACTTCTGAACCGTGTCTCGGCCGCTTCTTTGTTGCTTTCTCTTTCTACCTGCGCTCTACCTCTTGCTATGACACTCTCCGCTCTTCCTCCCCCTCCCTTCTTGTTATGAGGAAGCATTTCCTGTGCACCAGCACGGGAATGTCGCCGGTCGACACGCATACTAAAAATGATATATATTGAAAAATACCGCGAGATGTTAGAGGAGCCGATCGGCTTAATCAGCATTGTGTCATCTCCACTAGTAGTGGCTTGGGTGAAACGGACATTTACGGACCTGTAGAAGTTACGCACTATAGCTTTAACTTGACATGGTGGAAAAAAGGGCAATATGGTGGTGTTGTGGTTAGCACTGACACCTCACAACAAGAGGGTTCCTAGTTTGAACCCCAGGATGGGGGAGCCCCTCTGTGTAGAGTTAGCACGTTCTTCTTATGTCAGCATGGGTTTTCTCCAGCTTGCTCCTACAGTAAAAGACATGCAGGTTAGGTCAATTGGTGACTCTAAGTTTCCTGTAGGTGTGAATATAAGCGTGAATGGTTGTCTGTCTATATGTGTCAGCCCTGTGATAGTCTGGCAACCTGTCCGGGGTGTACCCTGCCTCTGGCCCACTGTCAGCTGGGATAGAATGACTGGTGATAAAAGCAACATTACTCATGTGTCCCATTAAGACATGACAGTGTGACAGTTAGCCAGCATGCACACTACCAGGACTCTTGAAGCAGCTAAATTCAACTCAGCCATCATCAATTTAATTATTTGCACCTGTGCTTTTCTTTCCATGACATGTCAAAATGTCTTCAAGGAAACTTCCTCTCTAAAAATGCTCATTTTAAAGAAATCCAAACTGTATAGTGGATATTCAGTGGCGAATTCAATGTAGAAATGGTATTGGTTGGTAAGGCAGTGTTTGCAATGCTAATATGCTCACAATGACAATGCTAACATGCTAGAGTTTAGCGGGTAATGATTACCAAGGTCACTTTCTTTACTTACCATTAAAGCATACTAGCATTTGCTGACATTAAGAATTAGCACTAGGCACAAAGCACAGTCAAAGTGGCCAAGGGACCAGTAAGGTTATTTATGGTGGAACATAACATTTTTTCATGTTTTGTTTCGTTAGACTATGAATGGTTATTTTTAGGTAGCGCCATTCTTGTGAAGACACACGTAAGGTGATGATGGTGAGCGGTGGTGCATCACATATTAAAAGCTCCTGTTAGCTGCCTGCTTGTGTAAAATTGAAATTAAAAGGCACCAAGTGTCTGCCTTTAAAAAAATATCTTTCCACAACGGTAACAGTTTAAACAGGAGAAACATATATGACTTTGTTTGTCCACATTTACTGGCTCATTATCCTTTTTGGCTTCTTCATTTCCTGATGTCTCATAAAGTCTCTCTGATTTCTTTTTTTTATATTCAACCTCTGTCTCTCTCTCTCTTTCCACCAGAACCTCCGTAAGATGGAGGAAGAGTCATCAGAGGAGCCTGGCAGAGACCTGAATGAACTACAGAATTCTGACTGGGTAGGCAACTACTGTAGACTCCTGACCTCTGTTCTCCGGCCTCAACTAATCCTTTCTCTTGATCAAAGACTAACTCGACTAAAATACATGGGAAAAATCACACCTCCTTTTGATTTCATATCAAAGATTCTCCATCTGCATGTTCACATAAAGAAATATTTATGAATCCATGTTACACTCTAAATAGACAGTGATTAAAGAGCTTCCCAGGAACCATTTTGAGATGGATAGAACCGCTGTCCTTGATGAACCCTCCTTGCTCTGTGTGCACAGAGAGGTCAGAGCACAGATGATTGCTGTTGTCAAGATAAATTCATATTCAAAGGGTCATGGTATTTTCTGCTTCCCCTTTCCCATGATGCCCTTTGCTTCCTCCGCCAGGCTCGATTCTGGGTTCAGGTGATGAGGGACTTGCGTGAAGGAGTCAAGCTGAAGAAGGTGCAGGAGCGTCAGTACAACCCTCTGCCCATCGAGTACCAGCTCACTCCCTATGAGATGCTCATGGACGACATCAGGTCCAAGCGCTACAAACTGCGTAAAGTCATGGTCAGTGTCCAGTCTGGATCATAAATAGAAACTGATGCCACATGTACGTCACCTGCTTGCTTCCCCTCTGCTGTACTGTTGTTCCGGTCTCATGGGAAAGATGGGATGATGCTCTTATTGATACCAGTGTTTCATTTATTTGGTGATATGAAAGATCCATCAATTTTCTGTTATCGCTTAAAACCTCTTAAGGGTCACGGGGGGCTGGAGCTGATCCCAGCTGGTTCAAACCCGATATAAAGGATGTGGAGGCATTTTGAGTTGACGCTTTTGAGGCTGCAATACCTCTTTTATGGCAACCATAAGCCATTTGACATGGCTGGTAATATTATAGAAACAATTAGATGGTTTATTAATTGGTTGTTTTGACCTAAAATGAATTGTGTGATCCAGGATGAAGCAAGCTTTTGCTAGTCTTGCAACAGGTGATTTTATTTATCTCTGCACCCAACCCAGTCGCCAAAAAAATGCTGCCATTGTATGTTTCTACAAAACCATGAATGCATTACATATTATTATGTAGCCAATACATTAAACACTGTGAATAATGTGTGGTTAGGTGTAGGTGAGAAAACCACTTGATTATGATCAGGAAAAGATCATGTTTCGGCTTAAAATGCGTGGTTATGGTGGCACAATCCCAGCAGGAAAAATAGCAATTTATAAGTAAAAAACAAACGCTTTACATAGCACTCGCTATATCACTAACAGTTTTGTTGTTTGTTGGTCTCAAACAGTGGTCTGCAGCTTAGCAGGAATCTTGCCTACATCCATTATACTAGCTCCATCTTCTGACAAAATATACTATGTCACTTTAGAAACATTAATATAATATGTATGAAAAGTGCACACATTTTCCTCTGGTGACTGGACTGTTGTACCAGACTGACTTTTCCATGTCCCACACTCCAGTTAGTAAATAACCCTCTGAAACATGTGGGATTTGTGAGATACATTTACACGAGTGATAGAAGCACTCAAGCCATTTCTGTCTTTGTGTCTGTGTGTGCCTTTTTTCGTATTCTTTTTCTTGTTCTGTTGTTTCAGATAAATGGAGACATCCCACCCAGGTTAAAGAAAAGCGCTCATGAAGTCATCCTGGAGTTCATCAGGTCCAGACCACCTCTCAACCCTGTAAGTATGACCTAAGAGCATGGATTTAAATATCACAACCCATCCTTGTGCAGCCTGTGAAAACATGTGTTGATTAGAACAGACCAGTGAACTCTCTTCAAATGAAAGTATCATCAAACATTTGGCCAGAACAGTGGATTCCAACCTTTTTAAGCTTGCTACCTCTTATAAGCCTGGTTGAAACCTCAATTTTTCTTTATAAATGTATATTTGCCAGAGCTAAAAAGGAAAGTTTAGACCTTGTTATTGGATTAACATTAAAACTGAAGATAGTAACACTAATTCTCTTACAAGAATTAAGAATTAAGAGACCAGCCCACCACAAGGCAGATACACCTGGTGACACAGTGCTGAGGTGTACAGAACTTAAGTGCAAGAAAGGAGCCACCAGTGTCATGCCTATCAATGCCCAGACAATGTTCTCACAACTAGCATCCTTCATCTGGGAAGGAGAGAAACAGAGGGCTGACCCCTGAGACTCACCTTCCCATCTAAAATCACAACAACCAACATATGGTCAGCCTTCGTCCTCTGGTCCAACTCTTGCCAGCGTGTCTTCATCGCTGAGCTGAAGATGCCCTGGGAGGATGCTGTAGATGTGGCATATGAAGGGAAAACACTGGGATATTTCACCCTTGCAGCAGAAGCAGAGGAGTGAGGCTGGAATGCAAAAGTGTGTCCAGTTCAGGTGGGTTGCAGGGGCTTTATAGCCCGTTCCACCGCAAGGCTCCTGGGGGAAGGAGGGGTCAGAGGGCAGGCCCATAGGAAGGCAATCAAAAGGAATCGGCACTGGCTGAAAAGAAGACATGCTGTCCAGGCTAACCATTAGACACACACGCACATCTTGTCACCCTGTGGTGGGCCTACCTCAGCTGAGGGTGTCTTGTGATAAAAGGCTAGAACATCCAATGACGTCGAGGTACACTACTAAAAATGTGTCAGAATAGTAGAAACATCATCTAGTGGGCATCTCCGAGAACAACCCAACACAAGTCAGTTGTAATGCAGAAACCTCAGGGAATCCTCTTCTGTTAATTAATCATTCAGTATATTAAAAAAAAACAGTCTAGCCTCTCTGTAAAACATGAATGTTAAAGCTTTCTAATTCAAGTCCCACTGCACTGTGAGCTCAGTAAAATGCTGAGTTCATCAGTTCTCTGTTGATACGAATCTCACTGCAGAACTAGCAGGCCCTGTTTCAGCAGGGCTCAGCTCTCGGTCATGAGAAGAACAATCAGTCACAGGAGATATGAGGAGGTGGTGATGAAAACACATATATAACCCTGTCTGTTTGTGTCACTTGTTGTATTCCTCTCTACCTACTCTCTGTCACCATCTATATTTTACCCATCGTCAACCTGCGCTAGGTGTCAGCTCGTAAGCTGAAGCCGCAGACTCAGCCTCCTCCAACGCTGCATGAACGGATCTTAGAGGAAATCAAATCAGAGAGGAAACTTCGACCAGTGTCGCCCGGTGAGGTCCGCAGGGGAAGACTGGGTAAGGAAACTCACCTCCTCTTTGTTGCTGCACACACACGTACACACTCTCATGCACATGAAAAAACATACTTCACTGTGAAATATATTTTTGAAGCTGAAGTATGGAGCTGATGCTTGCACCTGCTGGGACGAGTTCAGATGAGAAATGTGTTGTAGCTTCATGCTTTAGTTCCTTTTACACTTTACTACATTATTATTTGGGCCTCTGTTCTTTGCTGTTCTATCTAATGTTGCCTAACCTTTTACATTTGTGTTGCAACTAATGCCTGTTATTATTTTTTTGACAACACTGTTTGCAATATAGCAGAAGTTTAACATGGATAATGATGCTAAGTGTCTGCAATCCCTTTAATACTACCAACACTAACACCACTACTGTTTCTTAATGTCAGTAATCTTTTACCATTGGCTGTGGCTTATTTGAAATCCTATTATCTCCCATCATGAAAGTGGTTATACTTCAGTGATCTGAAGCTACACAATAAGTATGCTATACCCCTGCATGTCTTGCCAAATACTGTACACGCAGATTACACCTTGTAATGCCTTAATTTACCTCCTAATCACAAGCAATAACTGTCCGATGCCATGACTGTTTCTCGTTGCAGTAATACGGCCACTTAGCATGTCTTTCAGTTTTGATGCGTCAGGTAAAGTCTACCTCGCTGCTTATCTGGCTTTTTATCTCTTTCTGTTTCCTTCCTTGTTGTGGCTGCTCATCTGCTCTCCCAGCCTGCACACACATCAAACATACTGTATCAGCACACCACACACACATTTCATGCCATGCTTCAGTGGTTGGTGATGGTCGGCTGTGGTCAGTGGGGGTGAAACATGGTGATGTGGGGCACTGGTCAATAGGAGGACACTGATGAGAGCAAAGCAGTGAGCAACAAAGAGTAGAGCTGTAGTCGGGCAGAGCAACCATTCAGTCTTACACATGGGTTAGGGTGCTCAATATATTCAAATTTGACTGCTTCTAGTATTTAGTCTTTCACCTTGGAAAAAGTAAATTATTGTGTGATACAACATGTAGAGATACAACAGGCTGGCTGCAGTTTCCCACCAATATTTGATCCAAAGTTTGCAAAAACAACTCAGCATGTGAGCACAGAAGTCAAGATAAATAGTTGACAGAGAGGATAAGTGCTTGAAACATCCAGCTTCTGCCTCTCTAAGTGGTAGCAGAATGAGTGCAACCTTGACTAAACCTGCTGGAAAATACACAAGAAAGGGACAAAGCAGAAACACGATCTGTCACAACCAATCTATTTTCTGTGATAACATACTTTTGTACATTGGATAAAAAACCTTGGTATAAGTGAATTAGGGGACTTAACCAGGCCCGCAGGAAAGCTGCTCAGCTTTGCGGTAAATTTTTCCCAGTAGCCACACATGGTGTTGCAGCGAAAAAAATCCCCTGCGTCTCAAAAAGCCTTTTTCCCCACAGACCACCGTTATAAAGAGATGTCTGTGAAACTGTTGACAGGACACCTCAAACTGCAAACAATGTCAATTATGAATCTTTCTTTTCTGAATTTTTGAGCCATGGTGGTTTTATATTTGAGGCTTTATTTTCACTTTCCTCAAGCCAAGGAAGGGGATTTAAAAATCTGTGACATCATCAACATGTATAGTCTATGAGCCGAACTCACGGGCAAGGCCAGCGGGAGAAACACCACTGCGCATATTCAGTGGGCCGAAGTTAACCCGAAAGCTAGAAAACTTTTTTAGCATATGCGCCCGGCGAGCAACGCCATTGGAATGAATAGGTGCCATCTTGGCGTGTGGTATCTATTTGTTAGTAAAATCTATGGACTTAACTCAGTACCCTGTAGGTTGTCAATGTCCTTGTTCACAGGCTTACATTTCTGGTGAGGTGCACGTCAGGCTACGTGTATAAAAGTATAAATCCTGCTTTCGAAAGCTGCATCAAAGTTACATGACCCTTTTTCATGTGTTCACAAACAATTTTTTCCGTTGTTTTGACATGTAGATGCCAAATGTAATGCTTTTAAAACAGTATCCTTATCTCATGACAGTATGAGAGGTGTTCTGACAACAATTTGGAGAACTATGGATCTGTTATATTTATCACTCATAATATGAATATTAATTATTTTCCATTTTTATTCTGCAAAATAACAGAAATGGAACTGATCGCCTGTACATACAGTATTGCATGTCATATTTTTACCTCCATTTTTAATCTTGTTATCTGGGAAGAAACAAGAAAAGAGTTGATAGTTATTATGATGGCAACATGGGCAGTTTCATTACATGTACACTTCTCACTGCCTGTGGTTTTTAACACAAGGGAAATCTAACTTCCTATCACCATCTGGCTGTCCTAAAGGAAAAGATTAAACTCAGTTGGCTGATTGGAACAGATCCCATCATCTCACTGGCAGATTGGGATATTCAAAGGACTTCACAGCTCTTGGTGCTATGTGTTTTAGATACAAACGGAAACCAGAACACTTATTTATGTTTAAAGAGATGACTAAATGATTGGCCAGTGACGGTTTAAAATGATGTAACATCAGCCAGCCGAGTTTTAGTCTTTTTTAGTTGTATAACTGCCGAGTACATCTTGTGCTTATGAGGAACTCTGTAGGAAGAGTTGTGAAATGATACTATTGTTGCCTCAGTGCATCTTTTTTTAGAGGATATCATTTTGGCATCATCATTCTCAGTGATGAAATGTAGGGTGCAGCACATACAGTTCATTTATCTATAGCTCCTGTCAAACAGATAGACAGGATTATATTACTCCTGAAAAATGGTCCTGGTTGTTGCAGTAGATCTCTTAACACTCAGGAAAAGCATCCACTTTCTGACAAATATAAATGTGAATCTTGAGTAGAAGTGTGTGCCAGCCAGAAAGTTACTGCCACTTCTGTGTCTCCAAGGATCATCAGCTTCAGACAAAAGAGTCTTCCGTGTCTTTCTAGGTGACTTTGCAGAATTTAATCAGGGTGCTGCCTCATACTCTGCACAGCACTGGGCAGCACTGCTCTCTCAGTAGTGGCATATGTTTAGCATTAAATGCATATGACCAACTTAATGAGACAGATTGAGGTGAGATAAGATTGAGGTGAACGGGAAATACTGCTGAGACAAGCAAATCAGAATAACGCTGTGCTCCTCTTTCCCTCTACTGAAGCCAGTGTCTCTCATCACACCACAAACTTTATCACCTCGCACATACTCATTCATACTGTCCTTTAATCTGTGTGTGTGTGTGTGTGTGTGTGTACAAACTCCTCTTATAATGGATCAGTCTCATATGGAGAGAGTTTTTTGAATCTCACTGTGCTCTGTATTTTATGGGGAGGTGGTACATAATCACTGACACTTTAATGAACATGACTAAGGTTTTAATCAGCAAAAAGAAAATACTGTTTCAAGGAGAAACCCATTTCACAAGATGTAAACACTCTTGGTGATGTGTCATGCACTTCTGGGTCCATTTTACTGTGGCAAAGCGGAGATGGTGTGTCCTACCTAGTGTTTATTCATCAACAAAAATGGAATAGCTCAACATTTTATTCTCTTTATTGCAGAGATTTAAATGAGAAGATCAGTACCACTCTAATGTCTGTGCAATAAATATGAAGCTACAGCGAAGAAGTGGTTAGCTAGCGTAGCATAGCATGAAAACTGGAAGTAGGGGTAAATTGCTAGCCTCAACCTGACGTGGCAGAAGGTCTGTTACACACAACCATCTGAGAAATCATGGATAACTGTTTGGAAAAAGGCAGGGACTTTCAAAATACTTGAACTATCTGTTTGACACCGCTATCACAGACCATGTCACGAGAAGAGCGGAAACATCTTTTCCATCAAGAAAAGCCTTGAGTGTCATTCTTTACTCTTCTTTCAATGCAGAAATACTCTCCAGTTCGGACATAACTAAAGCTACTACAGTATACACTAACCTCTGAAGGGGCCACCATTGCTGTTTTGAATGAACAGTCGCCACTTTGTGTCATAATACACACCTAAACACAGCTACTAGTAGCTCCTACATCACACTGATTGGGCCAAACCACTGTTGGTGCCATCACGAATGCATTACTTGAAGTCTGACAGACTGATTTTTGTGTGATCTTGATATATCACGAGATCTGCTGCCGTGCACAGTTAAGCTAGCCTGCCTCGTCCAGAGTTACCCAAACAGACTTGAAAAACAGTAAGTGGTAGTTTTATGGAGAATTTCCAGGGATTATTTCTTGGCAAACAGCGGCACAGTAACATTTCCAGGGATGTAAGTCATTGCACTCGGCCAAGAAAGAGTTAAAATAGTAGCACTGATTTATAACTCCCTGTAAAACCACAACTTGTGCTTTCTACATTTCTTTTCATATACAGATTAAATAAGACCCAACTAGTTAATAAGTTAGCTTTAGAAGTGGTGGTTGGCAGAGGCCCCGTTTTAAGTCTTTATGCTAAGCTAAGCTAATCACCACCTGCACTGAGCCTCATACTTAATGCAAAGACATGGGAGGGGTTAACATATTGTCATAGAAGAGTTCAGATGATACCCTACAAAAATGCACACTCAGCAGTTGATGTGATATCTTATGAATTAGCACCCCATGAATGACGTTACATCCTTAATGCAAAGTAAGGTAATAAACGTCCAATTACGGAAGTTGGGTTTAGGAAAAGAAACATGGTAAGGGCATACCTTAAAATGACTCAGAGTTCACATGGCTCCAAACACACGTCTCTAGGAGAAAGTCCACATTTTTGTGACCCATCCACCACCCCAACCTGCCTCCTTTCAAGACCGCTCAGGACCGCTCCTCCTGACAGCTCATCGGTCACATGATCGCAGTCTTTATGTACAAATTTGGGTGCATTACTTTTCATAGGAAAATATACAGTTTATGAGAACAGCCTGGAGTGGCAGCAATCTACTCAATTACCTATTTTTCAAGAACACAAATAAAAATATTTCCCCAAATCTTGAGCTACCCCTTTGAAAATAAAAATGGTTCCACTGAAACTTAAATACTAAATGTTAGGTTTTTATATCTTTTTTTTTTTTATTTAAGAAAGGGATATTTTTTTGTTGAGCCAACAATTTAACAATAGTTTTGCAGTAAATACCCTCAAAAGTGGCAGAGAGACCAATTTTAATCAACAGTAACCTTAGACCAAAGTGATATCAAGCAACAAAATGTGGAATTTGATAAAGTTGCATGATCACACACATATAACACATACGCCTCACAGCTCAATGATCACACTTTAAAGCTATATATAAGCTCATACAGCCACCTTTTATTGAAGCAACACATTGGTGGGATGAAAAGCAGAAAATGTAGAAACAATGAACAAACCAGGTTGAGGTAATGCTGGATCCACCACAAAAATAAATTAGCCACATTCAACCACACAATAATGCACTGACTGCATTAATCATGACATATTACCAGGACCTACCAGCACAGACATACCAAATGGTGGAATGTTCTTATAGCTATCCTAATAAAGGAGGTGTCCCCTTTTAGGTTATGGCAAAACTCGCAGTATGCCACAGGATTTGTTCCGTGCTGGAGTAGGTAAAGTATGAGCACTTCTGTGGCTTCAAAGGCCTTGTTTAACCTTAACCTAATGGCCTTGTCTGTCTGCCTTTATAGCTAATTATGGCTGGTCTGTTTGTGTTTCATAAAGTCTAAACCCTGCTGATACAGTCTCTTACATGACAGAAAAGTCAATTATAGTCCAACAGCAGCAGAAACAGAGCTCATGGTGAGATGATGAGAAAAGAGAGAGGTTTCAGAGCTCTCATAGATGCTATCAGCTGCAACTCTTTATCTGCCTTTTGCAGCACTCCCTTGTCTCCTCTTCTCACACTCCCTCCCTCTGTATAAAGACTCTTTTTTTTGCTTTAACAACTCTGCACTCCTATAGACCACAGCTAGAGAGAGGCAGCCTGTTAGGTGGTTAGAAATTATTACTTGTTTTGCAGAATGACCTTGTGGCACTTGATTTTAAAGATTCAGCTCCCCTGAGAACAGTAACAAAAAGAGTCATCCATGCTCTGTGTGTAACACCAGCCTGCTCCTCTGCTTCCCCTCAGACCAGTTTAACTCACCCTTCCTGACCTCTTTCACCTTGGGATGAATCTCAAACCTCAGTCCTCTGTACAGGATTCATTGCATCTTTTCACCTTACTGTCCCATAAACACACTGTGATGTGAAAACAGTCTGTTCGCCCTTTTCGGGGGCAGAGCAGTCACAGTAGATTGACAGAATAACACAAGATGCAAGGAATCATATGAGGGAGAGTTTTGAGATTCATGTCAGGTGCTTTTCCTGCATTTTGTCTGAGTGACTCTCTCTCTTGTGTGTGGCTCTGTGCAGATGAGTTTAGTCCGTACATGGGCAGGAGGACATCCAGCTCTCTGTCTCTGACCAATGGATTAGCATCTCCCAGGGTAGAACCCTCCGGATCTCAGTCTGCACCTCAGAGGAAGAGGCTCCTGAAGGCACCTAGCCTCGCCGAGCTGGACAGCTCTGACTCTGATGTCAGTATGACTTTGTGTGTTTGTGCACTTGTGTGTAGGGGGTGGATTTTTGGAAATTACATCTCACATGTGCAGAGCTAATAATGATTGGTGTGTTTGTATATTCCATACATTCAGGATGAGATTTTTGGCCGCAAGTCAGCTAGCAGCTCCAGTGTGGCTACATCTTTGATGGATGATACATCTCCAGAGTGTGCTCTGGGGAAGAAAAGTGAGTCAGGAATTATTTCTACATCCCTGTTGTAGCCCAGTGGCCTCCTCAGCTAAACCATTTACTGACATTGATCAATGAGTTTTAATCTTAAAGCTACGCTAGCAATGTTTTCTTAGAAATTTTCCTTTATTGTTGCTGTTTATTATCAAAAGTTCTTGAGCTTTGAATTAACCAATCAACAGAATTTTCCAGTTAATCAGCCCCCTTTTCTCTCTTTCACCTCTCTTTCCTCTATGAACACCAGCTCCACCCATGTTCCTGCCCATCTCTTCTACACCCCAGCCAGAGAGGCGTCAGACCCCCCAGAGGAGACACTCCATTGAGAAGGAAACCCCGACCACTGTCCGACTGTTTCAACCTCCCTCCAAACAGAGCTCCAAATCTCTGGTGGGTCAGACATTTTTTGACATACTGAATCTACTCAGTAAATAAAATGTACCATGAAACAATACTGTACTTAGGTCATGGGACATGCTGACAAAAAAGGGGGCAGGATAAAGGCTTTAGAATTTAAAAAACTGTTTATAAGAACAGTAGCATTTAATAAACAAACAGCAAATAAAGTGTGGAAGTATTGGAGCATATTACTGTGCGCTCTCTGGGGAAAGTTTTAACCAGCCCTGGCAACAGATCCTGACCAGTAACTTAATAAGCGAGACAAAAAGATGGAACATTGGGATCTTTACAGAGAAGCAAATGCGAAGGGATTGAAACTAAACACTCACTGTCACTTCTCGTATCCTTTTATTTGTGTGACGTGTGTCTTCCTGGATTTCTTCCCTCTGCTTTTTCCTTCACCAAATCTACTGTGTGTGTGCTCACATTATTTCCTTGTGTGACTTTATCAAACTGCAGCAAGCTTCTCTCATTCAGGTTGGGACGATATCTTCATATCGTCCCTGGAACCCCCTCCTCCTCCTCCGCCCTTCTCCCTCCACTCTCCACCCCTTGCAGAGCTCCCACCCTGTGGAGGCATTTGTGTTGGTGCTGATGAAGGCAGTTTTTGCTCTGTGCAGGGCTCTTTACATCAGAGGAAGAGAGTCTGCCAAGGTTTGCCAGTCTGCCTCAGTCCATGCTGGCATAATAACTATAGCTGCCCGTCCTCTCCTAATGCTTCCTGCTTCACTAAAGATCATTCACCTATAGAGCAGGCTGCTGCCATTCTAGACTGAGAGCAAACTGCATTTTACCTGAGGTGTAACGTCGTAGCTAGTGATCAATATCATTTAATTAACAGTCATTCACTTCACTGCTTTGGATAACATGTTAACACTTAAACACAAGTAGGTAGCACCAGCTAAGATTCATATACATCTGCTCTAGAGTTGAACAAATGATTTATTTGCCGATGCTGGGATGCATTTATAATAAAATGTCTGTTTTGACCTCCATATTTTTGATTTATTGGTGGCACTATAGAGATAAAGACATTGTTTAAGATCCCTTTTATTAGCATCCCTATAAAGACATAAAAATATTTTAAAGTTGTCTCATGTTTTCTCCTTGCTCGCATGCTGCCAGCTGCAGGAGTCATGAGATCAGCAGGAGTTATAGTGCATTCATTTGTACAGCAGCGGTCAGTCAGTGAATCACTGTGTGTGACTGTTAAAGAAGCTTTCAACAGGATGTCATGACCAGCAGACATACATATCAGGTCCCAGGTCAGAATAATGATCAGTACACATTGGGTGTACATTGGTGATACTGTGATCTAAAATCATAGACTGTATAGAAAAAAATGGATGTCGCCATCATAATGTCACCCATTGTTTTGTCAACAACCACTCTGAAGCCTTGAGTTTGGCATTTTGGCTGTCACAATCTGTTTTTTGTTTTTTTTTCCTGTGGAGCCAGAGGTGACCATATTTGGATGAAAGGGTGGAGCTTACCCTAATGCTAGCTGCTAGTTTAGTTATCACGGTGTATTTACAACCATGGTTAACTGTAATAATACTATTGCTATTGCTAATTTTCACAAGCAAAAAACAGGCTTAAAACTTAAAAAATAAAATGTCATGTTTTTTAGTACAACTAAATGCTAAACAAGACTTTTGTAGGCGACCTAAATGTTACAGTCACCTTTCATAAACTGAAAACAGCTAGCTCATGGCTGCGCCTACAGTCTGTGAATCTGGGGTTATGCCTTGTTTATGTAACATGACATACGACGTCACCATCAGCCTCATCAAAGTACTCCAGTTCAAACTCCCAGAGCCTTCAAACAGAAAGAAAACACAAGCTTCATCTTTACTGTTCCTCTCTACCTCATTACAGACAGATGGGTGTGACATGAGCAGAGATATGTTCAAGTGTAGTGTTGTTTGTGTGTCAGTAACTCACTGCACTCTCAGTGTGCTTTTGCGCTCCTCCACTAGCAGCTCAGTCATAACTTCAGCTGTCACCTCAGAGGAGAGCTTGTTTCTCTCCAAAGGTTCAGTCACCAGTGTGAGATAAACAAATACGCAAGAGATCACTTGCCTTTATGTTTAAATACAAGACACAATGTAGGAGACTTTACCTGCTATTGTATATTGATGGAGACTTGAAACTATAGTGGATCTTACTTGAGCTGTAGGTCTGCAGTGCCTGCTCATATATGGGTGTGTCAAACGACATCTGTGAAGGAAATAATGTCACTCATTAGTTTGTTTTTTAGAGGTTTAAATCCATATGAAAATGTTTACAGTCTAAAACCCTCTCACACAACCTGATGGGTGTGTAGATGCCTTGGCTTCCTTCAATAAACTCCATGAATATTTTGTTGCTGTATGGGAAAATACAGTGTGTGTTCAGGCTGAAGAGTGTGTGAAGTCTGCAGAGAGGTTCTTTGCAATCTACTGTATATTCTGCTCTGTATGGGCCTTTTTTCATTTGTTTCACCAATGTTTCTCTTCATGTTTAATTACATTAAACTACATACTGCAGTACAACTTGCCACAGTCATGCCAACATACAATCTAAAGCACAGTGTTTTCAGATAAAGTCTATCCAAAAAAAAGAAAAGAAAGAAAAAACACACTTGACACAGCTATAGCTTTCACTTGTCACATTTTTGGAAGAAGTTTGTTCAAAAGGATGTACCTAATTACAGAAAACATGTAATGGGAGAAAAAAATAATTAAATCATGGTGGAACACTCCTTTAATTGCCAAGGTTGTGAATAACTCTGCTGCCCTGGATCACCACTGCATAATGTCTTCCCATCACTCCTGTCGTTTACGCATCATGAACCCTCTCTGAGTCCACCCTCTTCTTCAGTGAACATTTTTATGACCCAAATGTACTCTGGAGCCACACAGGCTGCTCTAAAAGGTGCAGAGGGAGGGCTGTTTGTGTGCTGAATTATAAACACTGAGCCCAGTGTTGGATCTGCTGTGGCCACCACGGTTGCTCACTGTTCTGTGTCTGTCTTTATGTGTGTGTGTGTGTGTGTGTGTGTGTGCTGTTACAGGAGGAGTTCTGTTTCCCTGTGGAGTGTCTGTCTCTGACGGTGGAGGAGGTGATGCACATCAGACAGGTGCTGGTTAAGGCAGAGCTAGAGAAGTTCCAGCAGTACAAAGAAATCTACAACGCTATGAAGAAGGGAAAGGTAACTTCTTTGTGTGCGACACATGTTGCCTTTATCGTGTACAGTAAAACACACGAGTAGATGCAGTTGTTATGAAATGAGTTGGGCTGTACCATTCTTATAGGTGAAGTGAGTAAGATTTGCGGGGGGGGGGGGGGGGGGGGGGGGGGGGGGGGGGGGGGGGGGGGTGATGGCATCTAGTGGTGAATTGCAGATTGAAACAAGCTATAACTTCTCCCACTGAGAATTTCTGTAATGTTCATTGATTAGGAGGTTTTTACCAGGAGCTGAATTATCTGCAGAGGTCTCTTTCCCTTCCAAAACAAAAAGACCAAGTGATTAAAACTAGTTAAAACACTGCATAAAGAAGTTTCATGTTACAGGTAAGTGTAACTCCAACACTGCTCATTGCAGATGGGCTTATAACTACGGTGGCCTAGAGTCTAAGGTAACAAAAACACAACAATTTGTATTTTCAGGTGATTATACACTAAAGAAAACGTACTTATTATATTGTATTTCTGGCAATATATCCCCCTACATCTTGCCCACAGGACCTTTAACTTCACCATAAGGGAAAGAGCACATATTTCTTAATGTTTGCATGATATCTTGTTTTTTCTAACATGGTCTTAATGTCTTTTATTGCAGCTTTGCTTCTGTTGTCGAACCAAAAGGTTTTCCTTCTTCACCTGGTCCTACATTTGCCAGTTTTGCAAAAAGTAAAACATCTTTTATCTTTTGCATTTTAAATTAAACCTGTTGAGAAGGAAGTGTTACTGTGTTCACTCATCACTTCCTCTGTTTGCTCTCTCTCTTCTCCCCTCACAGGCCTGTGTGTGCACAGTGCTGCAAAAAGGTTAGTCAAATTGAGTAAATCATTTCTCCAAACAGCTGCCAGTGCAGCATTAAATCCTGCTGTTATTTGTTCTCATCAGTCAGCTGACAGAAATGTGTTGCCATTCAAAAAGTTGAACTTTAAATTAGAGAGTATAATGTATAATTATGACATTTCATGATAAGTGCTGAAGTAATTTAATGAAGCTTTTAAGTCCTTACACAAACAAAAAATGGTACCCAAAAAATGTATGCCTGTTATATCTCATCCATAGTCTCTCTCAGTAATCATTACACTTCTAATTTACATCTACGTCTTCCCTCTCTAACAGATGCGGCTGCCGTCCAAACCTTATTCCAGCTTGCCCATCTACTCCATTGGCTCGACCAACACTCTCCCCAGGGAGAGGTTGAGTGCCATGAGTGCTGTAGGACAAGGACTCTCTGTGGCCGGAGAGCCGGGGCCATCAGCAGTGGGAGGGGCCCAGGCGCCCCCTGCTTTGAAAGTAGAAACAACAGGAGCATCTAAAGGAGCTGGAAAAGCCTCTGGAGCAGCAGCTGCTGCTAAATCTGAGAAGTCCTCTGGCAGTCCACGGCGCCACAGCATTCAGAAGACCATGTCCAAGTAAGAGCTTTGAACACAATTATTATGTCCTAATGTGATACAAATTCTCCTGTTGACAGTTTGTATGATATTGCAACAATGGCCCCTAAGATCAGAACTAAAATATTACATTTTAAAAAATGAACTCCAGTTCAAAAAGTCCTGCAAATTCTAAAAAAAGTGCAGAGGCTGAAAAAAAATGCTCATGATCCCAAAATGCAAAAAATACTAAAACACAAATAGAAGACAAAAAGGCCTTCAATCATAGTAGTTGCTGCTGACACATCCAGCTACATCTTTGCACTGTCACTGTGACACCTAGTGGCCGAATCTTTATTTCACCTCAGTACATTTCTGTTTGGGTTTTATATGTGCTACATTTCCCAATTGTGATTGCATTTTCCTTATTGTTTGTCTTTATTGCTCTGGAGATCTGGTATTTGTATAGATGGATTTGGAGCACATATTGCATGTTTGTGTTTTGTCCAAAGAGGCCTGGGAAATTTATTATTATTATTATTTCTTAAAATTCTGGAATTATTTATTTTTTATTAAAATTAAAAATGTTGATTCATCCAAATTACCAGAAAAGACAAATGTATTTTCTCAACCCTAGTAGTGTCAAACTATTCACATAGTTTTGGTTTGATGTGCACAGCTTTTGAGACATCTCTCTCTAAAAATGATACCTCCACACTGGAGTATTGGTAATAAATTGAACAGCAGCATTTCTCTTCTGAAACAGTGTTCTTACACTTGAAGGAACATTTCACCTGCAAACTTACCGTTTGTATATCAGTTGCTTACAGCCTGTTATCTTGAATTTGTGATAAAAAAACTGTTTTTCTCACGCCTCCCTGGCAAATGGAGAATCCAAAAAAGGCAAACCTTCTTCATGAATTGAAGTCACTGCGGACAACATTTAACAACAGCAAAATATATCAAAACATCCATTTACAAACTCTCACAGAACTCATGCAGTGTAATCCAGGTCGCATTTATCCAGTCGTATGCTCACTACTTCACACACACACATGCATTTTTGCTAAGATGTTACAATATAAAACACTATGCCTGTGAGTAGCGTGCCCTAAACTTGCTTGCACACCACTGTGCCATGCATGAGACTGTTTGTACTGACATGTTTTATATTATAAGGTTTGAGCTTGAATGCATGTGTTAGGGAAGTACTGAGCATACGACTGGATAAATGAGACTTGAATTATACTGTACCAATTATATGAGAGCTTGTAAACAGATGTTTTGATATAGTTTTGCTGCTGTTAAACATGGTCCCCTAGACTTCAATTCATGAAGATGTCTAATTTTTTTTGGGCTCTCTGTTCGATATGGAGGCATGCAAGAAAAACAAAGTTTTCTTCACGAATTTAACATTACATGGGGTGAGTAATTGTTATGCAAATGGTCGATTTGCAGGTGAAGTATTGATTTAATAATACTCAAACCTTCCCGCATTCAACAATCATTGTAGTAAACATAAAAAATGAGATTCCATTTACCTTGTATTACAGTAATAATGATATTAATGACTTAATGCATAGCAAAAAAGTATGTAGATTCCACAACATCAAAAATAAAACCAGATAAAATAATAAAGAACATGTACAACAACATCAAGACATCAGTAAATGAAAAGATATGGTCAAAGCTCAAAACCTGAACAAATGGAAATAAAACAATTAACATAACTAGATAAAACAATATGTAAGTGAGAAAATATGTTGTTGGGTTGTTTTTTTGTTTGTTTGTTTTAATTACGGTGACCACCCACCGATTAGGTTACCCATGATCACATACCTGGGGTAGTTTGAACAGTCAGTCAAAGTAAACCAAACTGTAATAACAAAAACAACAGTGTTCTCTGATCGTGTTCATGCTAAGATGTTCTCTTGTTTCTGTGCCATGTAGGTTTTCAAAGCACGGCTCTTTAAAGTCTCATGAAGAACTGGAGCTTCCTTCAGAGCTGACAGAGGACTGGGCCACCATGGAGGTGTGTGTGGACTGCAAGAAGTTCATCTCTGACATAATCGCCTCCAGCAAGCACAGCCTGTCACTGGCCACCAAGAGAGCTCGACTAAAACGCAAGACCCAGTCCTTCTACTTGTCCTCCCCTAAAGGAAGGGAGGAGTACCGCCCCTCTGAACGAACAATCAAGGAGGTCTAAAACTTTTTATCTCTCTCTCTCTCTGGCTGCTTCCAGCTCCTATGGCACAATTATAAAGACTCAGCACTGGATATGATTTTACTGTACATGTATACTTCAGTCAGATAAAGCTGTCAGATTGGCTGATATGAACCTCAGTGGTGGACAGTGTGGTGTTTGTTGCTGTGTCCTGATCATCGTGTACAGCTCCTTCAGATGAGCGCATACTGTAGATCTGCCAATTTTTTTTACCATATCATAGATGATCCTTTAATCCCTGGCCACAGACTTTTGAGTAAAGAAGCGAGAAGTGTTGTGATGAGAAATGGCAATGTGTCAAAGTGGAATGACCTCCCTTCCCTATGATGGCACAACAGTGTGGTCCGATCCAACTCACATTCAAATCAATAAGCACAAGACAGAAGGACTGATGTGTGTTTGGCTTCCTCAGGCACTGGCACTACAGAAGACACGAGGCCTGCAGAGAGTGACACTCAAGAAAATACGGGATATTAAACTGTACATTTTGTATGGGTTTTCATTTAGTTTTTTACACGCGTGTGTACGGTAAATGATTGTTCGATGAAGTCACCCTCAGTTTTGTTTTGCTGATGATGCTTAATGAGACTTTCCCCCACTTTCGTCTTTACAAAGCATACTTCATAGCACACTCCTGTTTTTGAGGAATCAGGAAAAGTTTCCACACATCTTTTTTTTTTTTGGATCACATGTAGAAAACAGTCTGTTTTCATACAGATTTTGTGCCAAATAACAGCATCTTTCTAATCTATATGTTATCCATGGAAAAGTAATTTCCCCCGATATATGTTTGCAGAAGTCTGGCAACAAAACAATGACACAAACTGTGAGAGCCATACTCAATCAAGCCCAAGAAAATGTGGTATAAAATCTTGATATTTAAAAAATTAAAGTCTGAATAGTCCGCACTGCTCAGTTTTTTTAGTTTAACACTCATCTAATCTGCTTCATCGGGACTGTGTGGGCAAGAGCTGATCAGATTTGATTTTAGTTTTGCACTTCCATAAAGTAATGAGACTTGTACGATACAGAGTATAAAAAGAACGGTGACTTGGTTAATTGAAGCTGAGATATTGTGAGATGTTTGTGTCTCTTTGTCCATCAGTCCCTATATGGGCCAAGTTTAAGGGGACAGTTCACCCCAAAATCAAAAATACATATTTTCACCCTTTCCTGTAGTGTTTTTGGTGTGAGTTGCTCAATGTTGAAATACTTCTTTCCGATATAATGGAACTAGATGGTACTCAGCTGGTGGTGCTCCAAGTGCCAAAAAAATACATTTGAAAAACTCAACAGCTATGTCACTTTCCAGAAATCATGACCTAGTTACTCGAGATGGTCCACAGACCTTGTTGTGAGCAGTTTCATGTAGGAACTATTTTCTTTCTACCGAACTACACCCACCAACTATATCACCATGTAGAAGGAAGCATGCATCTACTCATGAACAAGAGGCTTGTGCTCGTGATAGCACAAAATGTAAACATTAATGGTGTCCTTTTGGGCCACAACAACAAGGTCTGTGGATTAACTTGAGTAACCAGGTCATTATTTCTGGAAGAGAAGTTAGACATCTCTATGGCCGATATCTCCAACACTCAGTAACTCACATCAAACAATCTTACCAAGCATTACAGGTAAGAGGAAAGAGCTGTCTTTTTTTTTTTTTGATGAACTGTCCCTTTAAACACTGCCATAACCTACATTTCCCATGATGCAACTCCATAGCATCTTAATGGTTAAAACATTATTTACTGTTAAATACCCAGATCTCTCATACTCCACAACCAAAGTTGGTAACACAGGTCTTCTGTTATAAATTCGTCTCACTCGGGATAGAGCCAAAATAACCCTGATGACATCATCAGAGGAGATCCCCCCAGAGCCACAAAAGACAACTATTTTCACAGGCTCAGTGGTTCTCCTCATAATGAGTGAACTGATCTTAATGTGTCAAATCTGTGAAGTGCCCCTACAAACAAACACTCCCATAACTGCCAATTCAAACATTGCTAAATCCTGATTGGTGCTAGAAAGTACATGACATCATTTGTTTCCAATTAAGTCTCTTCTACTTCAAACAAGTGAGCGAAACAAAAATTACATTACATTACATTACAGAAATCTCTTATGTAAAATAACCAAATCTACTCTAACTTTGGCAGAAAATGTTGTGCTGATGTTAGACCCCATCGCTTATAATAAGAAGTAGATTGAAAAAATATATTTTTTTAGGGCCTTTAAAGTACATTTTGAAACCACATGTTCATGCTGTGTGTTTATTTGAGACTTACTTAGACTACACAGATGTGCAGAAAGGCAGGTATAGACACAGTATTACCTGCAGTATTGTCTAGTCTTGCCTTCAAATAATTTACAAAAAATATCTGCATATTTTTGCAATTTTAAATGTACCTTTGCGTTGATATATATTTCTTTCTTCTTTCATAACATGAAGTTCCTGGCTTGTATTTATGTTGTGTATGGATTAGTCATAATAAAACACCTCATGTTCGTGTGTTTGTGCAGATGCACAGCTCATGAAACCCAGCTCACTGTCCAGGCAGCAGACACACATTGTCCTGCTGTGCAACACATACTGTAAGTCTGAACATGATGCCTTTATGATTTCCCTCCATCATTCAGAGTCTCATTGGCAGGAAGACATGTCTAATGACTTGTGGCCTGGATGTTTATTTTGTTCTTCATCACATTCCTCATCTTCCTCCTTAAGATATTTCTGCCTTAAGAATTGCCTTTTATGATCACGCTCATACGTTGAACAGTCATCTACTGTAACTGTACATACTTTGTTTCTAATGATTTGTTTGTAGGTCAGGTGTGTGTTGCCTCGATGATATCTTGACAGTGAGACTGTTGTAGAACTGTGTCTCTGAGAGGGAAACTAACCCAGTACAGTGTATTCACGGGAGGAGTGGGAAGTCCACAGAAGAAAACTCACAGTGTGACAGCATCGTGCATGTACTATGGTGTAGCTTTTACCCTCAGTCTCTATTACCTTTAACCTGTAACTTCTTGCAGAGAGTGCAACAAATGATGACTACAACAATAAACTGTAATGCAATACCTGATCAAGGCATCTATATCTTCCTTGTTTTGCATTTAAAATATTCAAAAACATGAATGTTTATGCCTCCGTGCCGTGGCTGGAGGCATTATGATTTCAAGTTGCCCGTCCATCCCAGTCTTGTGAGCACCATATCTCAAGAGTACCTTGAGGAATTTCTTTGAATTTGATACAAATGTTCACTTGGATTCAACAACGAACTGATTACATTTTGGTGGTCTTAAGTCAAAGGTCAAGCTCACTGTGACCTTGTCTGTCTGACTTGTGAACAAGATATCTAAAGAACACCTTGAGGGATTTTTTCTAAATTTGGCACAAACATCCACTTGGACTTAATGATGAAATGATCAGAATTTGGTGGTCAAAGGTCACTGGGACCTTGCATCCATCTTATTCTTGTGAACACAATATCTCAAGAAAGCCTTGAGGGAATTTCCTCAAATTTGGCACTGACATCCACTTGGACTTCAGAATGAACTGATTAGAATTTGGTCCTCAAAGGTCAAGGTCACTGTGACCCTACGAAACATGTTTTTGGCCATAAAGCAAGAACTGATATGTTGATTATGACCGAATTTCACATGAATGTCTAAAATGATGACGTTTTAAATCCAAAAGGTCAAAGATCAACTTCCCCATGACATCATGATGCTCTGCAAAAACACTTATCTAGCCATTATGTCATATCTTAGGAACAGAAGGGGAGACATTTGGTCAGATACTTAATTTGTGACACTTATCTTGAATGTCCACCATGAAACATTGTTGATTGTATAGATCTTCTGGGATACCGCGAGGAAGTTGTGTGTGAAGCATCCATGTTTTCACAGACATGCATATAAACTGTGACTGCAACTTGACTGGTTCGCAGAGGCATACAACTGCAAGGCGGTAATTCTAGTTGTTTTTCCTGGAATCAGGGCTGTAATCACCTTTACAACAAGGGGGAGGACCATTTTTAATTGAATTCAATGACCATTTTGGGAGAAAATTTTACCAGTTTACATCACCAGCTCCATTTGTTTTAGAGAGGATGAGACCTCTGCAGATAATTTGGCTCATGGTAAAAAACCTCCTGAACAATGAACACTGCAAAAATTCTAGCTGGGAGAAGTGTTAGCTGGTTGCAATGTGCAATTCACTGCCATCATCACCTCCCTAAATCTTACACACTTCACCTTTAAAGAAGTATACATCTGCTCTCAGGGAGGTCCATTACCACCTACAGGCTTTACTCTTCTTTCCCTCATCCTACTCCCAAATTATGTTTCTTTCTCTGACATATTTTGTTTTACTGCACCCTCAGGTGGTGGATGACTGCTACAACATCCTGATGGAGTACAGCTTCTCCAAACAGGGCCATACCTGTTCAAGGGAAAATGACCTTCCTAAATGTCTGACATGTCATTCATTTAAAATTGTAACTGTAACTTGTACTTTGTCTCAGACAGGTGTAGAAAATCTGATTTCAACATTTAATTTTAAGATAAGCATACGCAAACAGCCAAGAATTAAATAACATACAAGATAATGATAGGGAATTTTTTGAGGCCGATACCAGTAATGATATTTGAGAGTTCTGCGAGTATGCTTAATATCCCTCCCCCGTTCTCAGTTTCTCCATCTTTTTGTCTCTGTTATTAAGTTACTGGACAGGATATGTGGCCAGGGCTGGTTAAACATTGCCAGGCTACACTGTCCTCAGAGAGCCCACAGTAATATGTTTCATCACTGTTCTACTATAAGATTTTATCTGATTACCACTGCTATTTTCTGTTTGTTGTTTGTTAATTAAATACTACTGTTCTTATAAACAGTATTGAAATGACAAAATTCTCAGCCCCTTATTTTCATGGTACATTTTATCTACTGAGTGGATTCAGTATGTGAAAATGTCTGACTCACACTCAGATTGGAGCTTTCTTTGGAGAGAGGTTGAAACAGTCGGACAGTGGTCGGGGTTTCCTTCTTAATGGAGTGTCTTCTCTGGGTGTATTCCGCCTCTCTGGCTGGGGTGTAGGAACGTGGGTGGAGCTGATGTTCATAGAGGAAAGAGAGGTAGAAGAGAGAAAAGGGGGCTGATTAACTGGAAACATTCTGTTGATTGGTTAATTCAAAGCTCAAGAAGGTTTATCACAAAGACAAGGGAAATTTCTAAAAATACATGGATTGCGAAGCTGTTAGATTAAAACTCATCAATCTCTGTCACAGTGTAGTTTAGCTGGGGAGACGACTGAGCTGTGACAGGGATGTAAAAATAATCCCTGACTCACTTTTCTTCCCCAGAGCACACTCTGGAGATGTATCATCCATCAAAGATGTAGCCACACTGGAGCTGCTGGCTGATCTGCGGCCAAAAATCTCATCCTGAATGTATGGAATATACAAACACATCAATCATTATTTGCTCAACACATGCAAGTTTGATTTCTAAAAAACCCTCCCACACACACACACAAACACACAAGTTCATACTGACATCCAATCGTCCAAAAATCATCCACATGAGCTCACTGTCTCAACAGGAGTTCTGTTTCTGCTGCTGGACCAGGACTTACTTAACAGATTACATCACCAAGTTTTAGATACAAACAAACCAGCCATAATTTTACACTCAACCTGTGTCTGCAAGCTCCAGGATTCAAATACGTAAAAAGAGGATAGTTTGCAGCCG